CTGGCTTACAAAACCAATATGGCCTTAAACTAAGAAGGGCGGGTTTAGATTAATTGTAAGGAAAAGCTTCCAAGCAGTAAGAAGAATTTGAGAAAGGAACAACTTCAGTTCACTGCTTAGACTCTGGTAACAGAAATGGGTGCACACAAAAAGTGGAAAAATCCAAAAATTAAAACCTCTTAACACTGGAATTTGCTTCCTTGCTTTGCTCTGTGTGGCAATCGTCCTGTTCTGGGGTTGTGCAGCAGCAGAGGGCCATCCCAGCTCTATTTTGTAGAAGTGGAAAATGTATAGTCGTACCTCAGCACTGGATTTCAGAAGATGGTGCCTAACAGCGTGGCTTTCTGTCTTGTGACGTTAGTCGGGTCTCTTACATTGCATTTTGGGATGCCTGGCATCATGCTGCATGGCTGATTTACAGAAAATGAGAAACAGAATTAGTAACCAGTCTTCATCTGTGTATGTCCAGGCCTTTCCAGATGTTCAGCTGTCCATTCAGCAATACTGCACAGCTGCTATGACGTGAGACCATATGTCCAGCAATCTGAGGGAGCTGTGGAAAATTTTTGGTCTGCCTGGCTAAAATTTCGGTCAGAGCAAGACACATGTCCAGAAAAAAACAGGTATATTATAGCCCTATCAGTGAGGAATTAACAATTGATTCAAAGAAAAAGTCTTATTAGTAGGCAGTAAATAAGGCTTGATACAACTATTGAAACAATGAGACTAAAGCAGAAATGAGTAACTGCTCATTTAACGAGTGTCAGTCCGCCCTGTGCAAGAGTCGAGTGTCTGTGGAGAAAATGGGACGCGGTTGTGTAACTGGTTGTGTCAAAACATGTAGGCATAAAAGCGACATGTAAAGATAGCAGAGATGCCTTTCATTTTGGCACTTGCGGAGTCGAATGTTCACTATCAAGCAACAGGAAAACCCCTGCTACAGCCCCCATCTATAGGGGAAGGCATTTATTGCCTCTGGTAGCACTGTGGTGAGGTTAAGTGGGAGATGGGCTGAAGGAGGGCAGTCGTCCTGCATTCCCACTGGTGTTGCTCACAAGTTTGGAATAGTGTGCTAAACAAGCTGTCCTGCTTTGCCCACCATTCACACAGCCACTGTATCTGCCTGTGGATATGTTTGTGTATGTATAATGCTTTAATGTTAAAATAGAGACTGTCTTTTGGATCTTGCTCAACCTGTGTGTTGCTTTAGTTCTGGGAGAAAAATTCTTTTCTGACCTCAGATAGGGATCAGCTCAGCTTATGTTCCAAAGAATAGAGATTAATATCCCCTGTGACCTTTTAGCCTAGTTGCTGCAGGGTTTTTCACAAGTGGGCTTAAGACCCCATGTGTGGCAGCTATGCCGACATGAATGTCTGTAATGTCTCTTCTTGTCAATGATCCGTGAACTAAGGAATCTCCAAGGATATCTTGATGTGCCGTGGAGCTGTTATGGTCTAGTGCAGGAAAGAACCATGCAATGATAGAATGAAAAGCTGGTGTCACAAGTAATGTGTAAGTTGTTCTAAATGTACCTGACAACAGTTGTCCCTGGCTGTGTATTTACTTAAAAAACGTGGCTGTGATATGGTAGGAAAAGCAAATATTTAAACAGAACCCCAAGCAACAAAAAACAAACAACGGAAGTGCTATTTATGACTTCTGTATTTCTGGTTCCTTGGATGTTTGCAATGTTGTATGAACTCTGTAACATAATGTAGAACAGATAATAAAAAATAAGTACATAACATGAAAAAGCCCCCTCCTAGTTCGAGTTATTTCTTCCTCCCCACCCCCCGGTGCTGAAGAGTGAGGTTGTCCAGAAAACAATCCAGGAAGGAATTCTTTCCTAAAAATAATTTTTCCTTCATTTTGGCTGTACTTGTTTTGACTGACTTTGGCTATTCTGAACGAACGTTGCCATCACTGGTGCATGTAAAAGGTTTGTAGTTTGTTTAAAGTATTTTTAGCCATGAGTTTAAAATAGCCAGTCTTTTTGCAATAGGACCTCAAAGAACTGCCTGGGGGTCGGGGCAGCACTGATTTAGGACTGAGGTCTGCAGTTGCTGTTTCAAACATGTCTGAGGTATATTCACCTTCTCAAGCTATATTACCTGCTTTGGTGTCTAGGGTAGGTGATAAGTAAAAATTGAAGTGCCTGAATCTAAGAGAGCTCCAGAGGCTTTTGTCAGCCTAGCTCTGGAGGCATCTACTGCTCAGTAGGTACGTACACGTACATCCACCAACCTCCCTGTATGCTCCAAGTGTCAGTGCCTGTCGATGTTTAGAAGCTCTCCAGCATGACACACTGGGCATCAAGCTCTTGCTTAAGCTTCAGTGTCACCAGTATGACCAGCTCTTGGTTGCTGGAGGAGATGGGAGACTCTCCTTTGGTTTCCCCCTGCAGTTTTAAGACCATGTAAATTTTTCTGCCTCCCACTTCCAGCTCCCTGCGCTAACCACTCTTGTGAAGTGAGCATGTGTTTGTGTGGCTGCTGTGCCTTGCCTCCTGCCCATGGTTGGCCCAGCTTCCACTGGAGACAAGGAGGTTGTCTCCTCTGGTGAGCGGGGCACTTTTCTGGGATTAAGGGGAGCTGGATGCGAGTGTCAGCCCTCTTAAGGCAAAAGGGAGTTAAACATGCCTGCAGGGTGGGAACTAGCTGTAATAAACAGATACGAGAGATTGCTGCAGTAAGTGCATGTTCTGTTTAATGGATTTCTAGGAATTGAATGCAACAGTTCCTTAGAAATATTTTATTTACTCTCTCTTTTTTGCTACATGTGGGGAAAACCTCCAGAGATTTGAGGACCATTTTCCTTATGGGGACAAGCTGGTTGTGTAGCAGATCCTAACCTGGATGTGTTTGAAGACAGGGCAATGGATTCTGCCCCAGGTGGTGTTTTGTTCATTTATAAGTTGACTCATCAGACCTGAATGGGTTGTAACCTATTTTCAGCTCTTATCATTTTATCAAATTCCAGTGCAATGTAAGTGACATCACTTTTTCCTATCAGTTATCATCTTCTGTATTTTAAAATTAAATGGTCTTAATTGCGACAGAGCTAGAGCTCTCCAGCAATGTATCCTGCCCTTCCTCAGCACTGGGAAAAAAACAAAATTAGGGTTGTCACCCTTTCCACCTTAGTTCTGCTCCTGCCCAGAAGTTTGTAACAGCCCTTGGGAATGATCTGCAACCTGAAACGTGCGGCACAGCACGAGGACGAGTAAGCCCCAATGCGTCTTGCCGTGCTTGGTGAAGTGCCAGCCGTGGGGTAGCAGCGTGTTCTTGCCATCAAAGCCTTCAGCCACGTGGAAGCTGTGTGGCCTGTGGGTTTAAGTGAGGGTAGCAGGTTTCTACGGCTTAATTGCAGGGAGCAGGGATGACGGGGTGGTGGAGCAGTCCTGGTGTGCAGCTGCAGGCAGCAGGAGGGACCGTCAGTTTGGCACTCGAGAGGCAGAGCGTATGTTTGCTATAGGCAGCGTTCAGGGAGGGCAGAATGAAGGTCGTGTGGATTTATGTTTAACTTATTGTCAGAGGTTTGACTTTTGCCAAGCACGAGGGAATACAAAGGCATAAGATACATCCTCCTTAATGCCATCTTGATCTTGTCTTGTCTGTTCTATAAAAACTACTAACGTTTTTATAACCCGCTAGGCTGTGAAAGGTTGTTTCTCCCTGTTCTGGCTTCTCTCTGCTACCACCTGCTCCTACTGCACGCACCCCCATATCACGGGCTGTCTTCAGCTGTGCAGCCTGATCTGTGTGCTGCGCCAGGCTCCGCGCCCTGCTCTCTCCCCTTCTGGCTGTATCCCTCCTTCCCTGTTTCTTCTCCACCACCTTGGTCTTGCCAAAACCTCGATGCAGCTAGTGGATGACCCTCCCGAGCCGGCCTCCTCCCCCTTGGTCAATGCAACTCTCTGCATTGGGTAGCTATGAATCGTAATTTTTTATTTTTGATTTCCAGAGGTTTATATCAGGGTGAATGTCAGGGACCCCACCCGTCCCAAGTCAGAGGACAAGGGAAAGGAACTGATGCTCTTTTTGTGTGGTAAGGACCTAGACTTTGGGTCATGTGGGATTCAGATAAAGGGGTCGGCACTGCTTCAGTCTTGAACCTTAAATACAAACCTGGCTGTACAACATAGCTTACTTTTGAATGTGTGGTTTAATATTGCTTTCTTGAATGGTTACTGGGAAAAGTTGGACTATGGGTTTGCCTTAAAGTCATGCTGCGATTTACTATTTGTATAAAAAAGTTAGTAAAATCTATAAATCTTACATTGTTTTGGGGACTAGGGGAAGGTTGTACTTTGGGAATCACTGCTTTAAGAAATCTTAAATTTGGATTGCTAACTCTGCCATAAATCCCAGAGTGACATGTTAAATTTAATGAAAAAATCCAAGTCGGCATGTAGATGTTGGAGTACTTTGAAAGAATATTTAAACAGAATGAGGCTCTCAACTTTGTCTATAGTAGAGCTGTCATTCAACCATATCATAATCTCATTAGGGTGAGGGCTCTTGAAAGTGCTAAGTGCAGACTTCCCTGATGCTGGCTGGCACATTTAGGCACGTATGTAATACAACAGTATAAAAAGCAATTTAATGCCTCCTGTGATTTGTGATTCACGGGTTGATGGCTGCCAGTATATTGTGGTGATCTACAAATTAAAGTTTGGCTTGTTAGGTTCAGTGGGGGCAGGGCATTTAATTTTCTTGCATTAATTTAACAGGATTGGGGCCAAAGACAGCAAAGAAGCTGTGTTTTTTATCACTATAAAAGAGTTGTGATTCATGATCTCAAACCTTAGGCTAGTAAAGAGATACTTCAGGGCTAAATGGTGGAAAATGAGGGGGACTGGACAGGAATGGGGGGCGGAGAGACATAATTCAGCTATGAGAGGAAAAACAAAACTAAAGTGTCATGGTCTGAATTATTCTACAGCATGTAAAATTCATTTTTCTGATGATTATGTTCTCTTTTAGACTTTTGAGTGGAGATGAATTTAGCAGAGATTTGCGATAATGCCAAAAAAGGAAGAGAATATGCACTCCTTGGGAATTATGACTCTTCTATGGTATATTACCAGGGTGTCATCCAGCAAATCCAGAGACACTGCCAGTCAATCAGAGATCCAGCAATTAAGGGCAAATGGCAACAGGTAAGGTGAAATATGGTTGCCTTTATTCTATTACTTGATATTTGAAAAACACACTATACTTCCCAAACCTTTTAAGATGTAGAGGACGTATACTTCAGTTAAGTTTACAACATTTCTTTTACAATACTTTGTTGATATTTGTGGGAAAATAATTTTTGTGGCGCATGCAGAAGGAATTCTTTTGTTCTAATTGAATCAATTTTTTTGTTGTTTTCACTTAGGATGTCTGGCTAATCACTGCTCTGTTTGTGGTGTGATTGTCTACTTTGGAAAAACTGTTTTGCTGAGGGCTTCCTTTTGGTGTTCTATCTTTTGACCATCTGATGTCCCATAAACTAAGATGTGAGCGGATGGGTTAGCATCACTAGAATGGTTGTCTGAGTAGCAGTTAACTATAATGCTACAGTGTGCAAATTCAGATCAGGTTTCTAAAACTCCAGGTAATACTCTTAGCCTGAGTCTTGCACACATGCATCTCCCTGCTAAGTAGAGTACTGTTGAACCCAAGGAAGTAATGCGCAGGTGAAATGTAAGAACTCTCATTTAACACTTTGAGTATTTAAGTCTTCCTTACATTTTGTCATCCCATTTTCCATTGTACAAAACATGCTCCATTAAGAAAAAAATAAAAATTGGAGGATAAACGTATAAAGGTGTATTCCAGAATAAAGAATTCATGTAGCATAAATATTACATTTTGAAAGAACATAGCTCCTATAAAAGGTATAATTTTGCAGTAAGTAGCTGAAGAGATGATTACAAGAAGAGTTTTTCTAAATATCATACGTTTAAATGGTGTCACTTAAAAACAGAAGCAAATTTTTCCTTTTTATTACAGCAGGTGCTTTGTTACGGTTTTGTGCTTGAAACATCTGACACTAACAGAGTATTTTGTGTACTGATAGCTACAACACTGTTAGCAATCATTTTGCAATGACAGTACTATTCATAGGTATTTATCATAGAACCGTAAAAGTCTGCTTATTAAAAGCTTGCAAAGCGTGTGCATGTACAAGCAGCAGGGATAGTGCCTAGCTTTCCTCGTGGTGTAATAAGCTGAATGTTGTATTCAAGCTCCTCCCCACCCCAGGGCATGCTGATAAAAGGTGTTCATGCCCCATGTGTGTCCTTAGTTTCTGTCAAACCTGTAACTGACGTGAAGGTAGAGCATGAAGCTTTCCTTGTTCTGCAGCTGCATCACCGCATTGCCTTCACTTCTAGTATTTAGTGTTTCCTCTGATGACACTGATTCTTCCATTAAACTTTTAACAGCTCTTATCTTGTGAAGGTTACTTCAAGTCTCATGATGTTGTGTGTTGTTTGAACTGCTTCAGAGAAGCCTGTGTACCATGGAATGCATGCTGCACATTGGAGACAAGCCTCAAGTAATAAAGGACCATTAACACAGTTCACAGGATTATTCCCTGGGGAAGGCAGCTGGCTCCTTAGCAGAGGATCTGAAGTTGGCACCTTCTCAGAAATTATCCCTTTTAGGTAAAAACAGAATGGCCCCTGACAGTGTCCCATAAATGCTTTAGAGAACTGTCCCCAGAAAGATCAGCAGCAGGTGGGGTAGTGTCTGTCACGCTGTGCGCTCATGTTAATTCTGAGACTTCCCAACACAGCGGTGGCAGATGAGCTTTGTCAGACTATCGCTTTGCTGTTGCTGGTGCCAGTCTCAGCTCAGGGACAAACACCAAAAAAGTAAGAAGTGTGATTAAAAAAAAAAAAAAAAAAGGAAGTCCTTCATCCCCAGGCAGTTTGCCTTCTCAGTCATTTATGGGACTACCCGTAGCGCTGGGAACAAAATGATATAGCCCTGAGAGCAAACGATGCAGCCCTGGAACCACTAGCTTTTCTATACCTGCACCTGAATGGTTTGGTGAGACCTATAGAGGTAGACCTGCTTTCTTACCCACTCTTGATAAATAATTGTTGTGCTTTCGCACTCCTGGAGACAGACTAAGAGGGAGTCTGATGATCTGGATGTTAGCACCGCTTTCCAGCTCCAACAGCAGCTACATCCAAACTGTCAGTCACATTTAGTAGCTGTCTGACAGACAGCCTGTTCTGAAAAAAATTAAGCCCAAAGTCGGATCACAAGAAGCACTCATTCTCAATATTAAAATAATACGTAGCTATTCTTTTTAGATCATTCTCATGAAAGAGCTATGCCATACAGATTACGTAGGTTTAGCAAAATTCAGGTCTAACCCACTTGGTATCAATAATGTGCAAAACCAAAAGATTCCCATACCTGTATGCTTCTTGCAAGCGGCACCAGAAGTAAAGCAACCCTTAGGTCATGGTTAAGGGGATGAATGCAGTTGATTTTTACTGGAAATTCTGTCTCTTCTGGTGTATGCAACTAGCCTGTTCTTTAGGTTCTTCAGTTTCTCCATCCTCTGAGGAATCTGAGGAGGATAACACCACTGGTACCTTTTGGAGGTGGAGTTTAGCAATCTCTAGCAGACACTGGGTTGGTAGAGCTTTTACTGTTGGGAGTGGTCCACAGTGTGAATGTCCATGTAGATAAGTGCTCAAAGGAGAAGATTGTTACTTAAACCAGTTCTTCTCCGAGATGTACTGTCTGCATGCACATTCACAATGTTGAACCTCCTGAAGGATTCCTGGGACACCGATGCCGAGGGGATCTGGCAGTATGAAGCATGTCCTTCCTTTCTGTACTTTTGCGCGCAGTGCACGAACAGGGTATTTGTCCTACTGGTACTTCTGAGGCAGTGAACTCAGTTTCAGGTGTTTGTGTACATGTTGGCTCATAAAATAGGAATGTTCATATGAGTACCATCTCAAAGAATAGCTATAGCCCTGGCTCTGCAGCTGACCAACTCATACCTGTTACATGAACCATTGTTCTCCCTATCTGGTCATTTCTCTATAGTCGGTGCTCCATCCTGAATAGGTACCTCGTGCTAGATGGATCTGTTTTGTTGCCTTGTATACTACATGGGATTTTTCCAGCAGTTTATTGAGCAACGTAGACCAGAGGTGAACCAGAAATAGTTGGGATTTTGGGTCAGACTCCCAAACACTCTTGATCTACCTCTCTTTGCTTAGGTGTCGTTGTTTTCAAATTTCTGCGGGTTGGTCTGGATAGAATGGTATTCTGTGCAAGTATTTGGTGGCTTGTATTTCATGTCACACAGTCAGACAGCTTCAGCTTTGCAGCTGGGCACCCTGATTTCAAGGGTTCCTCGGACTTGGTGCTGATGGTTGGGAGGAACGTGAACATGTATCTTCTGCTCCTCTGGGAACAACTGACTGGCTCAGTTCCACTTGGTGCAATACTGCTTCTGGGACTTCAAAATCAGCACTGACTGGGGGAGACAGATTGTGTTATTAGTCTGACATGACCTGCAGAACTTCAAAAGGGCAAAAGATGCATCCTGGAGGGTCCACAAAAGCAGTGATGTGACAATGTAAGAATTCTTCTGACCCTTTGGAAAATTCATTATCATTGACTGTCTGAAAACTAGCTTGGCTGGGGGATATCAAGGGCAACCTGCTCTGGAGACCCTTATTTGTTTTGCATCCAGGGAGTTCCCAGCTTGCTCTTGGGTGGCTGAGAGTAGCTCCATTCTTATCCTCACTCCTAGGCCTCTGAGCTCATTTGAAAAAGAAAAAGTTACTTCTTTGCTGGGCTTTGAGGTTTGGCTGACATGTAGGCATATTCATCCATGTAAACGCAGGCTGGGACTGGAAAGGTTCAAAATCAGAAGCAACTCATCTCTTTTTCTACTTAACAACAATAAAAGGTAGGTTTACTCCCATGACTGCTACTGTGAACTTTACTTGTGTTGACATTCCCCCTGTTTATTCTGAAAGAGTTTCTTGGCTGTTGCAGTCTTTTTACTAGACAGCTGGCTTGTAGGAAAGAGCTGCTTCAGTGACAGTTCAGCAGCTGCAGAATGACAGCAGAACGTGCCCCCGGGAGATAGTACTGGCTTACGACAAGGCCAGCGGCTGTCGAGCAAAACCTGCTGCATGTTATAACCGTGTGCTCTGTGTTGCACAATATCTGAGAGCACAGGAGCCTCAGCCAGAGCTGAGGCAGGAGTTCAATGATTCCCAGAGTGCTTGGAGCAGCCAGCATGGCACCCTTACAGACCATGGTCACTGGTGCAGGTGATTGGGTGCACTGTATTCTTGCTTAAGGAATAAAGGATGATTTTAACTTTTTTAAAAATTTTAAACACATTTCAGTCAATCAGTGCTTATGTTGTTTTTGCTTCATGCCTAGGTTACTCCATAAGTAATTAAGGAATATTCTGCAGGTAACTCATGAAGAACTGTGATTACAGGAGTTATACTTTGACTCCATGGGATCAGACTGGGTTACAGGGCATCCATTTTGGGTATAGTTTAGGGAATTGTTATTTTCACTTTTTTAAAATGGAACTTGTTGAATAACTAACACTAATTGCAGGCAGTAATTTCAGGTTTGGAAAACATTTTTATAGAAACTTGATTGGTTTTGTTCCAGCATGATATAATTTAAAAAAACCCCAAACCACCTTATTTGTATTTACCAAGGTACAAATACTCGTGCTTGTTGCTGTGGCAAGTTGTGTAGAAGTACAAGCTCTAGCATAGCAAATAAAAGCTGGTGATGCCAAAGATACAACAGTTGCCAGATTGTGAAATACAAAGGAAGTCCCTGAAATGGTTTTTGGAACTACCACTAAGAAAGAGCGAACTCAACTCTTGGTCACTGTGTTATATACCCATATGTTAGGATGTGTTTTCTGCTTAGGTACTGTAAATTGTTAGGGCTGGAATGTCAAAACAAAGCTGTGGGGCCATCCCCTGGGCTGAAGGGCTTTTTATCAGGCTTCCCAACATCACCCAATGCCCACGATGCTGCTTCTGTGGAGGAGGTAATGTGTCTGGTAGGGGTGGCTGGTGGAGTGTGGCTCTGGGGAGCAGGCAGTTTCACACGGTAGCTGAAACCCAGCTAACATCCCGCCATGCCTAGTGAGCCCAAGCTCTCTCCCACCTGGTCTTCCCTCCAGCTGCACCAGCTTCTCTCCCTCCTCTGCACCCTGCCGTTCATTCTCCTGGGATTCACCTGATCACAGCGTAGCAAGCCAGTGCAGTTTGCTAACCCAGCAAAAGTGTCCTTTATTTTCTTTCAACCCTCCTAGGCTAATTTTCTGCCATTTTACCAAGCTGGGTTACTGTATTGAGATGCCAGCATTGAATCCAGAAGAGTGGCGGCAGAGTGTGGTTGGGGAGAAGAAGCAAGGAGAAGCAAGATCTTCCTATTTGGCAGTGATGGAGCTGCTAACTTGGCTCACGCTATCTCCTGAAACTGCTTAAACATAAATAACCTAAAAGCTTTCTTCAGGCTCTTTACAACCTGAGCTGAAACGCCCCGAGGGCACTGGCACGCAAGGGAAGGGTATGACAGGAGGCAGAGAGACTGGGGGAGTCCAGACCAGTGATTGTCCTGTTTGCAGCCTTCCAAGGTTGCTTCAGAGTAGCACTGATCACTCAAAGGTGCTGCTCAGTCACCTCCATAATTACGGCACAGCCCTTCTTGGCTCATGTCTGAGTTGTTTCTCAACTGCAAGAAACTCTTTGTGCACCTGTTTCATCTGACTCGGTTTCTTTAAGGCCCCTAGGAATTTATCAGTTGGTTTTCCTTTGTGGTCCTGTTCTTTGAGTACCTTGAGGGTTTTTTGTTGGTTGGTTTGCCAGGTACTGTCTAAGCGGTAAGGGTGTGTATTTCAGAGTTTGGTCTTCTCAAGTCTGGATAAGAGAAGGCCAGCAGTTGTTACTCTATTTTCAGCTTCCAATGCATCAAAGGCTCATTTTCTCTCAATTCTCAGATACTGTCCTCCTTGCTGGTCCAGAGAGCTGAATGACAGCACTCCGGCCCTCAGTGCTAGCAAGTTGTTTTCCACCAACTTTTCCGCATGTGTTGGAAGGCTGATAGGAGGAATCCTGTCTGTATTCCTGGAGCACTGGAGTAGGAAGCGGCTGTCTCTCATGGAGCAGTGCCCTGGAGGATTTACGCTCTATCATTCCTTTGTACCTCACAGCAGCTGTTTGGCTGGATTTATTTTTGGACAGGAGGGATGCGTGTTAGACAGTTTGAAGGAACCAAATTAGTAATCAATCACATTTGTAACTCAGCTGGAAGTTCTTGCATTGGGGGATGTGTCTGCTGATTGTGTGATGAGAAAGCAAAGAGAGCAAAGCAGGGCGGGGCAGGGGGGGCATGTCAAGCATTGACTGTCTTTACCAGAGCAATCCTGCCTGAGCTGGATGTTCTGTGTCTTTGGAAAGATACAGCTACCCCATCTGAACAAGCAAGAAGGCTGCTTTGCACTGTGAAGTGATCAAGCTCTTCCCATACCGAAGGCTCCTTTTGTGCAGATGCACATGGAGGTTCTAGTGAAGTAAATGCAGTGTTGCAAGAACTGTGCAGGGCCTTGGGGATTTACCATTCACTTTGCTTCTGTCCTTGCTGGTATCTTGCTGACAACAGTCATATATATTTTCCTTCTTAAACAAGGTTTAAGTGTTAAACCAGAGAAGAATTTCTCTGTGCTGCTGAAAGCTTCTATTTTGTCCTTTTGGTGGGAAAATTCCTGGAAAATATTAGAGTAGGACAATACATTACTGCGGGATGTATCTGGTAGTATTTTAGGAGAACTGTAGGATCCAGAAAGGGGTGATGTATGTTTGTTATTGAGTGCTGACCATTTAGTCATTCAGTCTTTTATACACCATACCCAGCAAATGGTTATGTCAGCACTTTCTGTCTTGAAGTTGCCCCACCAAAAGCGGAGGGCTGCTGCTGCTCTTTTGAATATCTAGAGCAGGCTGGGTGAGGAAAGACGCTGTTCGGAGAGGGGAGATGAGAGTCTGCAGAGAAAAACGGGACGAGCAGGTGAAAATAAGGCTGGAAGAGGTATGCTTCTGAATGTGTGCTGACAAGACACCTCACCCTGCACATACCCATCGTGGTTCCTTTACAAGCACACAGGGAGATGGGAAGATCTCAGGCTAGCGGCCACATCTTTTCACCAGTAAGCACCATTAGCAAGAACAGTCATAAGATGTGATGCAGTTTAGTAGTAGTTCCCTGATCTGCTGTTGCTATATTTATAACCTCAGCAGACAGTCTGGATGTGCAGACTTCCATTCTCCTGATCCTCTCGATTACTCGCAATCTGCTCAGGATATGCACAGCAAAGAGAGTCTGGATTTCAGGCAGCACCATTGACATCTGTGGACATTGTCCTCAGTTGCCTTCCTCTATTTGCCACAAAGTGAATCCTGGCTGCAGCATTTCCAGGCAATGTTTTTCCCAGCTTTTTTTAATGTGGATGTATGACATGAGCACAGCTGGATGCCTGGTGTCTTTCTTGTAAGCTGACTTCAGATCCTGGCTTTTGATTCAGCCTTGCAGGGTATGCTAGTTGTAGCCTCACTCAGTAGTGTGCCTGGTGGCAGCCTGCAAATATCCTGACTGTAGTGTTTCTTCACAAGAGCTTTTAGAGTCTATGTGCCTTTACAGTAGGGTCAGGATGCCTCTAGCTCCAGCTGTGAGCCTGTAACAGGCAAGATTCACATTGGCCTAAGGTAATCTTAGCTGCAGAGTGCCAATACTGATTTCTAGGCATGCACAGCAATGCATGAATTAGTTTTAGCTGTGCACCAACACTTCGGTGAAGAGGTGACATCTGGGTGTTACGACCCTGAAGTAGGTAAAAACCAAAGTAAGCACGGAGGTTGATCCTGCAGGATGGAAGGCATCACTGAGTGTAGGTGGAAAACTGGTAAGATGCAGTACAAGTGCACTCAGGTGAATCCTAGTACATCTTAAGCTAATGCACTGAAAGCTTATGCTTCTGAGCAAGAATGTACAGTGCTGGTTTTGGCTGCTGGTGTGTGCTAAGAACCAGTGACCTTAGCATACAAAACTTGAGCTTATAACAAACCATATCACTTAAAACTTAGCAAATTTCTACACAGATTTTATTTTTCCTAGGTTTCATGGAAGAAAATTGGAATGAACAAATATCAAGTAAATAATCTTGAAATTATTGCAGTAGTTCTAATTCCCTGACTAGTGGCAATAGAAACATCAAGTATAAAATTCAGCTGCATAATTCTGCAACCTGATTTCTTTCTGAGACATCCTTTCCTCTAATTTTTATTTCACTTACTCTACTTATCATTTGAACTTATGCTATAGGGTGTTAAAGTTCCCATTTTCTGTTCTAATCTTTGCAGTCCACCAAAGAATTGGCTTGTGCTTTGACTGTATGATGATGTTGTGCCCCTCACAAAGTTAATTTTGTACTACTATATTTTAATGATTTAGCCAGTTTTATAACTAGGACCTTGGAGACTGTAATCAGAGAAGTTCTTTTAAGCCAGAGTAGTAGCAAATATGTTAAAGATCTGCCAACAGCACCCTTAACTAGTATAAAAGTGTGTGTATGTGTGCATATATATCAACATGCACACATAAATCTAAGCATCAGCACATGTTATGGAAGGGTGATCGCTGTGTTGGCAATCATGTCTGGTCATGACATTGACAGGCAGGAAGATGAACTCAACAGAGATTCAATTGTTTATGCTGTTGTTAAAGATCTATTGTCAGCCTGATAGGTCTGGGGTTTGTGAATGGAAAGGCTTGGGAGTCCCTGCTTTTGAGGGTGGCGTGTGTTTTGAGGTACTTTCTATGGGTTTAAAAAAAAAGTTTGAATTGCAACAATTTTTAAATAACGTGTGTGTTTCTCAAGGTCCGACAAGAATTAGCTGAAGAATATGAACAAGTTAAGAGCATTGTCAACACTTTAGAGAGTTTTAAAATGGATAGACCTGCAGATATCCCTGTATCCTGTCAAGATGAGCCTTTTAGAGATCCTGCAGTTTGGCCCCCTCCTGTTCCAGCTGAACACAGGTAATGAGAGGCTCAAGCAGCGTGGGTGGAATAAAGTTGGGTTGCCATAATTTTATGTTCTTTTTTGAATGCATCCGTAATGTGAAAAGCACATTTCATTTACCCCTTAGTCATTTGTAGTAAAGAATTATTATAATTCATTGGGGGAAAAAAGTAATTAAACTACAGTTGCATTTATTGCTGAAGTTCTAAAGAAAGTCTCTCCTTTATTCTGGTAGGAGTGACTAGCTAAGTGCCTGGAACTAGAATCTGCTGGAGAGTTGGTGACTTTCTCATGTGCAGGGAGAAAACTTTTCCATTTCAGTTTATTTAAGCAGTTGAATTCACTGATGGCTGAGGAGTTGGTAAGGGGCTGGAACTGAAGGATCTTGAAGGACATGGTGGTTAGAAATCGCTCCCTAGCTACAGATAATATGACCTGTGTTTAATCCATTAGTTAGTTTTATTGCTAAGCATGTTCTGTTATACATGGTGTTTCTCTTCTGTAACCACCTTTAAGGTAACTTTAATTAGCTGAAAGTTTTCTCAAAATAGATGCTTGTGCATTTTCTGAAATCCCTATTTTCACCCTAATAGAGCTTGACACAGGTTGTTGGAAACAACAGATCTGATTTAAAAACAAGAATAACATTTATCATGCCAACATTTTTCTAACATTATTATAGCAAAGAATTTTAATGTGTGTATACTCACATAAGCAAAGGAACAAATGAAAATGGGAGACCTTGGTTGACAGAAAGAAGTGCCAAGTTTACTTGTAAATTTATGTGCTTTATGATTATCAGACAAATGGATCTTCACTTTTCAAAAAACCCTAAGAATGTAAGTGCAAAATAATATTAACGCTGATTACTTTTGTGAGTGGTAGAAATGATTATCAGAATCTTTGTGGTAATGTTACATGGAGTGCCAGATGTATTTATTCTTGTATCTTTCTTAGAGGTAAAGGCCCAATAGTTTATCTGCTTTTTTAAGCTGAAATTTAAATCTTGTGCAAATAAGTAAGGGAAATCAGCCACTCTTTTATGCTGTTAAGTTTGATGAAAATGTATACAAAGCAAAATGTAACAGTTGTATCCAGCAGTGTGTTTAAGTCTGTAGTCTTTTTAAGCCATATTCCAGGAAACTGTTTTTGGAGTTAGCAAATTTTGAGTTACTGAAAACAAGAATCAGTAGAAGGTTTCATAGGGGGCACTAATTAAAGTCAGGTGACATTCCTGGCCATTTATTTTAGTTCTCTATTTTAAGTCCAATGCCTAGAACAAAATGACTGTGACGTTTTGTCTTAAAACCAAATCCTTTCTTCTCGTGCCACTGCTGAGTTCTCTTTGACATTGTGAGTGATGCACACAAGTATAGGTGGTTGCAGTTTGGCTCTGTTTGCTTTTGCTTTCTAGGCAATTTTTACTTTTTGACATTTTCACACAGGGGAATGAAGTCAGAGGTAGGAGGATTGTTTTAAAATTCTCCCTCCTTTGTTTTTTGGGCCTGTCAAAGGTATTAGCCAGCTTTTTTTCTTTAAAGTTTTTTCACCAGGCATGTCATCTGGTTGTGTAGAACTCGTGCATATGAATGTAGCCTAACATAATCTCCTGGTCTGGAGTCAGAGGAAAATACAGTTTGAAGACTTCTAGTAAATTGTTTCCTCTTTTGTTACATGTGTGTTGGTTTGCTGTAAGATTGGTTAGGAATACTGATCTAATAGTATTGGTAATTTTCTTTTTTTCCTCTGTTGAAACTTCTTTTTCCTTTTGTATTTTTTTTCTTACTTTGAATGTCAGACAGAACCAGAAATATGTTGCTGGATTTGCAGATACAGGGAGATAAGACTTAGGGGCTTGTCAGCTTTAGTAATAATACACTAAGGGAATTAATGAAAAACTAGAATCCTTCCTTCTTAATGTTGCTCTTTTTTCACTGTTTTTAGCATGTTTTTGTTGTGGTTGCTTGTTGTTAGGGCTCCACCTCAGATAAAACGTCCCAACCGAGAGGTAAAACCTTTGAGGAAAGAATCACCAGGACTGCAGCCCCGTGGGCCTGCGGGCAGAGCACACGCGGTATCCAAGGGTGAGAAGTCTACAGGCAGCCGCGAAAGGGAATCGAGAGCTAGAGGACGAGATGACAAGGTAAGAAGTGGGGAAGAACGTGGTGGGGAGGAGTTATGATGTGGCAGGTGGCAAAGGGAAGCATTATTAGTTTTAGGTCTTTAATACAGATAATAATAAAAAGCCACAATAATCCCATGCAAGAAAACTTGGTGCTTTCCTCTTGCCTCATGGACAAAGCATGTATCATGGGGATATATAGTAATAATGACAGCAAATTAAGGAAAATTCTGTCTTGTTTGCTCTGTCTTGATTTGAGAAGATTTTTTGATAGGGAGGAAGCATGGTGGCCTGTTGCTTGGGGGTTTCTTATCATCTCAGTTAGACCATGGGCGTGACTCTAATCCATCAGTGTCAATCAGGCGTAAAGTACCTTCTCCTCTTTCTCTCCTGCCCTTTTTTTTAAAAAAAGGAATCCAATTCAGGTCTTTTGTAAAGATTTCCATGTAAAAAGTGCAAAAGTGAAACCAGTGCCCTTCTCTAGACTTTAAGCATTGTGAGTGGAGTTGCACAGTACCATTGCCTCTGCCACACCATAGTAAAATTTAGGTATGCCTAGAAGTTCAGGACAGTTCTGTAAATGCATTGATGCTAGGTAAATCTGTGGCAAATTATTTGAAGTTAAATATTTGAAAATGATGTGAGGGAGACATAGTAAAAGCAAACTTAGCAACTTTCGTTTTCTCTAGTTTGTGGAAAGGGTTTTGTACTTATTATAGTGTTTAGGAAGATGCTTCTTGGAAAGGCTTTGTTTTAAAAATAAAAACAATGAAATAAATTAGAAGAAGTTGGAGATTCTTTCCTCTCAAGACCCATGAAAAAGAAGCAGCACTGAAGTGAAAGGAAAGGAGAAACAGTGATTCGCTATCAAGTAGTGATGTCAAAGGCAGGACTGTTTTGTGGCTGAAAAAAAGGTCTGTGTGCAAATTGCTGTTTCTGACACACTTGGATTTTTAAATTTAACTGTGGAGTCAGTGCCAGGAACCCAAGGAATCTGTGGTATAAATGATACAAGTCAAGAGCGTACTGAAGTGGTTTTACTTTCCTGACAGACAGAGATACAAGCAGCCCCTTCCTATGGGGGCACACAGTATTGTACAGATCTTGATAGATGAATAAGAAAATATTTAGGCCAGTTTTCTTCTAAATGAATTTGGATAGTCCCTTCGTGGCCTTTCTATTACAGGTCACTTTTTCACAGTGCAGAGAGAACTCAAAGATACTCTTTTTCCATCATGAATTGCTTTTCTGATACACAGGAAAAGTATTAAGTTATCCCAGCCCTTATTACCATCTGTACGTAGGGCCAGACAAATTTTCAGCAGTGCCACTGAGTGACTGCACAGATCAAGTTTAATCACTTTAGAAATCTCTCTACCCTGGATCAGTAAGATTTAAAATAACAAGTGTTCATCCTGCAAGCTATAAAAATCTTGTGAAGATCTGTGAAATTATTTACAGTTCTGTCAGCTATACAGGCAATTGGAGCTGTGGTGTGTGACAGGTTCACCAGATGTGCTTGTGTAAGGCAGCCTTCAAAGTCTTAGCTCTAATGAGAGTGAACTCTGCTCTCAAAGCTTTCTGGTGATGAGCATTATAGAGCTTTACTATAAGGAGCCCACAACAACATGACTTGTACAATACTTGTCTCTGGGAATAATGCGATTAGCAACACTACTGCTGTCAGATGGAGGAAGAGTCATGAAGGTGTTCCATTTAATATAGTACATTTTAAACGCTACTCTTATCTGAATAAATTGGTCACTAGGTGGCAGAAGGAAAGTATGTCTACTCTTCAAAAAATACCAACACATGTGCTCTTGGTTTTGCCTTTGTCTGGTTACTTTGTGGCTATTTGACTTTCTTTGTCTGGGGTATATATGCAAAAATCACACCAGGTTACAAATTCTCACGTGTTGTATGACCATTTTTGCATGGCATCCATGATTTTCTTTTGAAGAAAATTTTGAATGAAACAGGAAGTAGACAGGCATGGGAAATGAGAGAAGTTAATGCAACTTTCCATATTTTGCACACAGGCATGGAACTTCCTTTGCAGTTTTATCCTTTCTTAGTTTGCAAGGGTTTATGTTCTTCAGTTTCTGAACTAAAGCTACAAGGAGCTTACCTCTGTAGCCTAGTATGTTGAATCAAACAGCTTCGGTAACTCTTCATGTTAAGTTAAAAACAATAGGGCAAAACTGAAGCCTTAAACTAGGTAACCAGATACCTCTTTTCTCATAATAAGTGTTTCAGCTCTGTAGTTCTTCTGTTTGGGTAGTTGGTTAGGACTACTTAGAACATGTAATGAACATGGACGCCATATCCATTTCCTAAGATGTTGGTTGCAGTGTAATAGGTTGTATGCTGTCCTGGCTATAATATCTCAGTGCAATACGCATATTTATTTGTGATAATTTTTCAAGGTAAATATAGCTATAGTATGTATGGTTTAGAAATGTTTTGTCTCACTTTACATGTTATGCCTTCTTTCACCATTTCTCCTTCCCAGACCATATAATCTTTTCATTCTGACTGTAACCATCTTGGATAAGGAGTTTTAACCTGACTATGCTGTAAAATGACCTTTTGTAGTGCTATATAAAATAATTTTGAACTGCAACCCACTGGATAGTGTTTATCCACCAAACCCTTTTATTTACGTGTTCCTTTTTCTAAAATACTGCTTTCAAGTGCTTCTTCCTTCTTAGTTCCACTGGAAATTATTAGGCTTGTTCTCAAGGTACCTTCTGCTGTATCATTGCCAAGAATTTTAGCTTCCGTTCAGTAGTTCAGCTTAAAGAGGCAGCATGAATGCTACCTGTATGTCTTTTAGAAATTGTATAATACCATATCTAAGCACTAGAACACATTTTTAGGAGTACTCTTTAGCTTATTTTAGATTGCCAGTGGACAAGGACATTAGATATTGCGAAGGATGTGAAATAGACAAGAGCTGTGCTGCCATATCAGTGGATATTAAAATTGATGAAGATATGACTTTAAAAATTTAATTATTTTTGCTTGATTATTCTGATGTGCATCATGGGAAGCAAAGGCAAGGTAGATTACAGGAATATGGATGTGAGATGAGGTAGTCGTATTTAGGTGGAGGCATAGACCTCCATGCATTGGGACTGGAAGGCTGCATAATCTTTATCCAAGAATGCTGAAAGAACTGGTAGGTGAAATTGCAGGGTTGGGAGCAGAGATTTCCAGTAAAATCCATTGGGTCTGCTGTTGACTCATGTGAATGGTGAGTTGTGTTGACCTGCATGTATTTAGAAGGGGAAAGGAAAAGTCATTCAGGCAATTAGAGTTGTTAATTTTGCCTAAACAGTGTGCAAAGTTTTACAACAAATTTAGAATGGACAAAAAGCGAAAGACTTGGGACTAACTGGAAAGTGGAATAAAGTGAAATATGATTTCTTAAGCAAAGGTGTTGCCTTTGCCAGCACTTTCTTTAGAGTTCCAGTTAACATCTTAGAGAAAGAAATTAATCTACCTGGATGCCACATAGGAAGCAATTAGTTAATCTAGTGAGTGTATGGTGTAGAAGAATTGTAAGGTGGGGAGGAATTAGGCAGCAAGGAGAATGTTAACAAGTGGTACTGAAAGAAAAAGTATCAGTAAACTGGTAAATCATCTATGGATTTCCTCAAGACTAGAGATTAACTCTTGTTTTATCTTTATATATATATATATATATATGTTTTATATATAATAAATGACCTTGGCACAAAAAAGAGGCATGGGCTAATTAAATTTGCTGGTGACACCAAGCTGGGAAGCACCATCACCAAAAGAGGAGAATAAGGCTGTTGTACAGGAGGAATTGGATGACACTGTGCTGGAGTCATGGAAATGGGATAATGTTCAGCGGTGCAGAGCAGCAGGCCCTGTACTTGGAGACAAGAATTTCTGCCAGGAGCTGGGAGCTCAGCAGTGGAGAAGAAGAAACACTTGGATGTATCAGCAGAAATCAGATCAGGCTGAACTTTCATTTGGCATGTCACCTTTTCCTGGTGGTGATGGGAAAGGCTGGCAGCTGGAGTGATGCACAACCAGGTGCCACCTTTGGCTTTGGCAGCGAGAGTTGAAAAGTGCATCTGGCAATTGTTGCTCGTGTTCACGTGTAGCGGGAAGAGTCTGCAGGAAAGTAAGATGTCTACAGGACCCAGTTCTGGTCATTTAAGCCACCAGGGTTATCCTACGTGATTGATCTGTTTGAGGTTGCGTCTAAGACAGCAGTATGATACAGCTGTGGAAATTAATGTAAATTAAATCCTAGGCCCAGTTTGTTGAGGTGTTACCGGCAGAGAGAAGACATACTATTATTAGGGGGCCCTGGTGAGACAGAAGCTGGAGTATACTGTGTGCATTTCAACAGCTGTGCTCAAGAAAGATGTATTCGTATTAGGAGGACAAAAAAAAAAGGGTTGCCAAAGTGAACAGGTAATTGTGTTCAGCTTGTGTTCCAAGAAGAGACTTAACTTGGTTTGGTAAAAGAAGGCAGAGCACACCCGTGCTGCAAGTACATCAGGGTGTTGGACACATCAATGAGACAACTGCCAAAACTAATGCACAAACTTAGTACAAGAGTAGAAATAGATTCATTTTGGAAACAAGGTTTTTGTTCCAGTGGAGTGGTACAGGTCTGATACCCCTTCCTGACAGAAAGCCCAGCCAATTTTTTTAAATGTGTTTAAGTCAGACTTTTGTTGGCCGAGGAGAAGGTTACGTGATGGGATTGCCAAGGGGACTGGGTGGGAACAGTCCTGTGTACCTCTGTCTGTTGGCATACCTTCTTAAGAGAGAAGCCATCGCAGCAGCTTTATTTAAAGCTGTTTTGGGAAAGTAATTCCACAAGAAGAGATGAGGTTATGACTGGAAAAATTATGCTTACTCCTGCTGCCTGGATGCAGGTGACATTTTTTTAAATTATTTTTTTCTAGTCTCTGCTCACTTACCTGCTGACCGAGGATTGCATGTTGCACCAGTTTGGGACCAACACTGACAATCTTATTAGATATGAAAACCGTAAATACTTTAAATCTTGGTTTAATTCTGGAACTGAAAAACTTGAAGCTTTCAGTGTCACTGAAATGATAGCCAAGGTGATGCTGAAAGCACATCTCCCAGTTGGCCGTTCTTTCCCCTCTGTTGCCAAGACATGCCGCAAGCAGCAGGAAAAATAACTGTCCCAGGAAAAGCGGTGAGTATCGCAGGACCTGGCCGCAGGGTGTTTGGGGCAGGCCAGGCCCTTTCTTTCCCCCTTTCTTTCTGTGGTTTTTTTTTTTTTTTCTGCTTCTTTGAGCTACATCACACCCGCGCCTGGAGTCGCCTGCATTGCCTGATTGGCATGTTTGCCGCCTTTCTGGCACAGCAACCAGGCTGTGCCCAGATCTGCCAGCCCGGGCTCGGGTACGGAGGTTTGATCTGCTGCTTCAGCCTCCTCCACAGTGCGCTGCAGCGATCCGCCCTGCCTTCTCCTGCTTTTTAAAGCCTGCCTTAACTCTGTTTCACCCAGAAAAAAACAAAACATCCGATTTGTTTTGAGATGTGCAGAAAAATTCTTCCACTAGGAAAACCAGTCCGTTGCAGAGGGATCGAGAGACTTGCATAACAAAGACGGACAGCAGATACCTTTCATTCATTGTAATTTTTTTTCCTTCTTTCTTTTTTTATAGTTACATTTGGATTCAGTTTTCTCTCTCCTGAAATCTTCCAAACTCTACAGGGCTTTTTTTCTCCATTTCCTTTTTACGCCAGACCATTACATTTTTGACACCAGCTTTTTGTGTAAACACAACTTTCGGCTTTCTTTCCATTGCAAAAAACTGATCTGGGAATACTAAACAACACAGAGTTCACTTGGAAGCAAGAAATAAAAACACTGGGAAGATAAACTGCTCCCTCACAGGCCTTGTGGGCAAACGGCAACTGGGAGGGGTGTAATAATCGCTACCTTTTTCTTTTTCCACTGCGAGGTTATTTGTGTGTTTCCAGCTGCCTCTCAGCCCGCCTTTGCCTAGGCTGCTTTTGTCCAGCCAGCTGGGATTCTTGCTTGCTGATAGTGTTTAGAAGCTGAGCTAAGAGTCCTAAAGTAGCTCCCTAGTCAGCCTCCTTCATTAAAACAGCACAGCTGCTTTTCAGGCACTGCAGAATGCTGCCGTGGATCTGGGAGGGGAAGAAGTTTCCTTCTGAAGTGGGAGAGGAGGAGCGTGAACCCTGGTGCTTGAAAAGGAAAATGTTAGTTCACCCCTATAAGCTTAATGGCACTGTGGAGGTATTAACCAGAAACTCCAGGCTGTCTGGGACAGAGGCAGTGTGTGGCTCAGTCACCGAATGAGCATTGGCACACTGCAGAAATTGTTGTAGTTCAAAGAAGCCTGGGTGACTTGGGAGCTTCTTCAGGGCTTTTGGTGCAGCCTTTAAATAAATACGACCTTTTAGAAGCTTTTTAACTGTTTGTGGAGCTGGCCTGTGAATGAGAGGAGGGAAATAGATAGTTTGCTGGTGAGGAAAGGAGAAATTGCTGGGCAGAAAGGCTTTAATTAAACAAGGGGAGGGGATCTTCTTGGTTTTCCTCCATCAAAGACAATAGGTGTAACAGCTTTTGTGTTCCTTTTCAGTGATGATGCGGTGCCAGTTGTTTAGCTCTGGCAGGTAGTGTGGCAGGTGTAGCATCTTCAAAATATGCTTTGAATACTCTGGTCTTTAGCCAGGAGTTAATGTAGTATTAAGTCGTGACGCAGCCTGCTTTGTGAGGCTGTTTCTGCACTTGTTTCTGCATTTCAGCTGGCCAGGAAGAGTGTCAGTTGTCTGAAGAGTGGTTTAGCACTGTTAAGAGAGTCTGGTTTGCTGCTTTAAAACCAACTGACTGACTGACCAACAAACCAACCAACCCGCCATGATATGTAGTGAGCTCTGATGGGGTTTTATCACTATGAGCTGCATCTGTGAAGGAAGCATGGTGCTGTTGTGGTGGAAGCAACCACAGATGTTTGGGGACTCTTTGTGGAGTGTAGGGTGTGAAGGTGTTGGTTTTGCTGGCCATCATGGTGCTGAGATAGCTGTGTTAAAGCTTGATACCTTCTTGTGGCTTCTGCAGAGGTGAACCAGATGATATTGTTATATATTGCTAGTAAAGGATTTGTTGAAAGAATAACGTCCTTATAAGCCTGTGTGACTTTCACTTCTAGGGAAAGAAAATATCCCAGGAAGTTGGTGATGGGGAAATTCCAAAATTTGATGGAGCAGGTTACGACAAAGACTTGGTCGAAGCTCTTGAAAGGGACATTGTATCAAGGAATCCGAGCATTCACTGGTATGAGGATTTTCTTAATTCAAGTGTTTTTGCTAGTGTGGAGAAGGAGAGAAATTATCCTTCTTCTAACTCTTAAAACAGGAAGCCATCATAATCTTCTAGAAAGCAAAACAAGGTCTTTTGGTTTTAACAGTTTATTAATTTGATTACAGTTAAGCTTTTGTTGCTAACTGATATTATGTGCAGTACATCCATTACAGGTACTGCTGCAATGAAAGTACACTCCAGAGAACATTAAAGATACCGCCGTGGTGTTCACATTGTCCAAAACAATTTTTAATTAAGCAGCTTTGGGTAACTTGAGTTGAAAATAATTTTTTCCCTACCTTCCAAAAGCGGATTCAATTTCAGGTCACAGGATTGTAGGAGTGCTCTCATGAGGCATGTGCTGGCATGCTAAAAGAGATGGTACTAAGTGAAAAGCTTTTCTATTTTTCTTGTCTAAAAATAGAAGAAATACTGTTGTATGGGAATCTTATACAAGTTTCTTCACCTTGCACAGGGATGACATAGCAGATTTGGAAGAAGCCAAGAAATTATTAAGAGAAGCTGTTGTTCTTCCAATGTGGATGCCCGATTTTTTCAAAGGAATCAGAAGACCTTGGAAGGTGAGAATTTATTTGGTGTTTTAGTAAATGGCAAGCTGTAGTTATGTATGTCTGCTGCTGTAATGTGTGTGGATGCCTGCAGCAGAAGGCTTGAAAGGCAAATAGGAAAGAAAAGGAATTTGTTCGTGAAATCCTTTCATGACAATTCATGTAAAATGCACTGAAAGAAACAGCTGGAAGTGTACACGGGCTTTACAGTAAATAATAATTCTTTTGTATTTAGTCAGTCATAGCTTGTTGACCTTATAATACTTTCTCTATGTCAGCCTGTACATGTGAGCAAGTATATAGGGTATATTGACAGCAGCAGAAATGCTTAACAGACAGCTCTGCTTAGGATTATGTTGGCCACTCTTCAACACTTCACGGAGGAAAGCAGTCCTTGGACTGTTTTATTCTGCATGTGCCAACTCTCTCTCACTCAGACTGCAAAACTGCAGGCTGGATGGTGCAAGGAGGCAAGGAGAGAGAGGGGGCTAATCTGAGTGATGATTTAGCTTTGCAGTTACACTTGCAGCTGGGCACAGTTACTGCTGGAGTGGGAGAAATTCCAAGTGGGAGAATGAGCTGCAAGTGGGGCAACGGAGGGATATAGGACTGAGTTGGCCTGGCTGGTGGACAAGAGGTGAGACCAATCTGGGCCTTGCTTAGAGCTAAAAGGAAGAGGAGGTTGCGGAGCATTTCTGTAAACAGAAAATAAAATTGTCTTGCTTTTGTTGTGGGATGGATTGACACTTGTTTTGGGAATAACTAGTCCTAACACAAGGGCTTTCTGGTTACTGAGAAGGATTACTGGGGAAAAGAGACTGTTGCAAATTGTCTGTTATTCTGAGTCTGCAAGGCAATGGCATGCGTAGGGAATGCTGTGTACATGAGTAGTTTCTGTGGTTTAGTACGCTGGTTCAGCAGTGTATATCACATCTTGCGTTACTAACACTTGCCCTGTCTTTTCCTGCTTGGTCCTTGTACTTCTCTGGCTTATACTTGGGTCAGACCCTCAAAGCTGTCCTTCTCCAGCTTGAGCCAGTCCTAGATCCCCATTATTCTGCTTATTTACAAAACGAAGCCCTTCAGGAACTGATGAGTGGAAGACTTGTCATTTTTGGGGCTTGTGTCTACAGAGAGTAAAGAGGGGAAGTCGGAAAGAGTGGGAGCTGATGGCGAGAGCTGGGAGATTGCTGCTTGAGGACTGTTCATGGAGGTTTTAGTGAGTTGCAGGGGGGCAACACAAACCTAGAGTCAGCCCAAACCTAGACCCAGGCTATATGGCCTTTGGGGTTTAGAGTGCTTGTGGTCAGTACCAGTGGCCTTGAGGTTAACCTTAAGATTTACCGAGCTATCAGCTTGGACAGAGCCTAGATGTCGTGGGTTACAAGTGTAAGGTGAGATTTTAGTGTCTTTTGAACAGCTGAATCCCTCTCTTTTCCTCTTGGCATAGAGGAAGTTGATCCATACCCTTATTATAGACTACAGGGGCCCTGTCTGTCCAGTCTTCAAAAGTTTTTAAGGCAGTGAAGAGCTGCTGTGCTTTTTTTCCCCTATTAACATGTCTAGAGGATGTACTGGCCATCTGTCTTTAAGGCAGGTATCTCAGCAGAGCGCAGGAAATGTGAAGACTGCCACTGGCCTTGTCTCCAAGTGGTGCGGCAGTGGATAACAAAACAACAGCCTGGTATTTTAAAGAGTTACAGTCTCCATCTCTTTGCCTGAGATTATCTTTTCCTACTGAGCAGTGTCGCTTCTGAAAACTAGGTGGTTGTAGACATGGAAAAAAATTTTAAGATTATTTCCTCTCTTCAGTCTGAAATGCAAATTGATTTCTGAAGAGTCCATGAAGAGTCTTCATTGTTAGCCTTTTCCCTGGTGACTTGTGAAGCTGTAACTCTCCTGAATTTATTTTTCACACAGAACAGCATGTATTTTCCCTACTGTTGACCTCTGACTGTGCTACAAGGATGAGAAGTTTTGAAGGGAAGACTGTTTCTTGCAGTAATCAGTGTAGCAGCAGGCATTTGTTGAGCCTGGGCATTCAGGACAATAATTCAGGGAAAAGGCAGCCAAATCTGTTTTTGGATGCTCAGACTCTCCTGAGAACAATTCCCAAGACAGCCCTCACAGTTTGTGCCTGCATTCAGAGGACGGTGCTTGTATGAAGGAGCCAGCTGTCTTCCTGATTCAACACAGGTGCTGTGTAGTTGCAGCCATGGGTTTCTGAGTGTTCCCGGGCTTGCTCTTTCTTTTTCTCCGAACTGTTTTGTGCCAAGAAGGCCCAGTTGCTCACTGTGCTTCCCACTGCTCTGCTAGTGATTGTTACAACAACAAGAAGTCACCCTGCAGTGATTTCATCAAAACACTTACTCCCTGCGGTGCATTTCAGCTTCTTATTGGAATACTTTGGATTAACAGAGCCTTAGAGGAAGAATAAAGAAGTCTTTGTGTTTGTCAAGGATTTTAACTAGTGAGTAAGTGGCAGCCTCCTAGTCTGCAGAGAGAAAGAGCAACTTGATCCTATGTGTTTCTGTTTGCAACCATGCACATCTTGTTTTGCTGAGAACTCAAGTTCTTTTTTTTTTAACTGATATTTCTATCATGTTTATCCCCAGAAAGCTTGGTTTTCCCTGGCTTTACACCTGGTGTGGCTGCTTTGCACCTGTGTTACGCACATATAAAATGCCACCAGTTTCACATGCAAGGTAACAGTCACTATAATAGTTACACAGGAGGTGCAAAGTGATGGGCTTCGATTTCGGCAGTGAGCGGCATGTGTGACTGAAGCCAGAATTCGACCTTCCATAATAATGGAGGACCAAAGCAATATCCAAAAAATAATGTTAGTCCCTTGTATCATCAGGTCCTGCAGTAAACACAGTTTGTCAAACAGAGGGGTCAAGTTGATTTAAATTGAAGTGCAGCTTCTTTTAAAATATTAAATAAACACATCTCAAGCTCAGAGAGAACAGTAAGTCATCTCTGACCTGCATATCACAGGCTGAGTAATTTTCAGCCGGTCACTCCAGGGTTGTACTTGCAATATTATTATAATATCAGTATGACTATGCAGTGACTCAAATCACAGTATATGTCTGAATGTTCAGGGGGAGAAAAAGAGTCCATTTACTTTTTATGCTTGCTGCTCTGGAGCTTAGGGAACCTTGGGCAGCCTGAGGAGTGACATTGGACTGTTAGCTGTATGGATGGTGTGTGAATGTTTCTAACTTAATTTACCGATGAATGTATGTTGAGCTTGCATTAGCTAAGTGTTAAATGGCAATAAAGGTATTAAGAGTTAATGGAAAATGGAGTACAGAGAGGCTATTGCTTTTGAATAGTACATTTTTGAATAATTGCATTCCCGGTTGATTTGTTTTTATAGATCTCTTCCATGTCATTCTTTGTGCTTTTAGAAGTAAATTTTTGTGAGGAACAGATGAAATCTAATTTGCTATGTGGCTTGCATTTAACAGATATTTTATTGCTGTGGCATTTTATGTAAGTTATTAATTGCAAAGCACATTATGATGTGCAATTCTAATTCTAGCTAATTTGATTACCCTTGCAACACAGTACAACTTTACTTTAGGAAACTTGTTAGCATGTAATAAGATCTTGCAGTTGGGAGGGAAAAAACCCAAGCTGCTTGAGCGCTACATTTTCATAGTGCCATGCTTAAAAATTGCAGTGCCCTATTCTGGCACTATGCGGGCATGGAACAGTGTGTTGTCCCTCTCCAGCACTGCTGCTGAAAGGGTTGGAAAGGCTATCCATAAAGATAACTGTATTTAGAAATATTATCAAGAGTGATTAACCAGTCTCAGTGCTACAGTCTTAACATGGGTCCTGAGATCACTCTGTGTCTAGCTAAAAACCTGCTTGCGTAATGATGGGTAAATGTGCTGAGCTGCAGAGACATGTGCTTCTTACTCTCTCTTTCAGATAGACCACAGATGGAAAGACAGTCTGATGATGTGGATGCCAACCTGGGACTTAACAATTGTAGTTCAGTTTTCTAGTAGAAAGCTTTCTGAATAATCACTGAGGTTCATATTAGGCTTTTGTGGGACTGAGCGGTAGTCCCCATAAGCCACGGTTGCTTATCTGTAAAACAGAAATAGCAGTGCTCTTCTGCCATCCAACAGTCTGGTGAGGATAGCATTTCATCCAGGAACTGCTAAGATGCAGCAGTATGGCCACAGAAGTACTGAGATGGAGAGATTAAACAGTATGACAAACCATTGTATTCAGTGAATGCTCTCGTGCATACTTAAATGTAAAAATCAACCAGATTAGTACATATACATCATCAGGATTTTCTGGCAAAATGTTTTTCTACAGAAAAATGCTCTATTGAGGGAACCAACTTTCTGCAAAAGTGTTTTGGTTTCTGTGCAGCTTTCTTTGTGAAGGAGCCTTTGTTCCAAAAAGAAGAATTCACTGTCTTCATCTGCCTGTGCAGCCCCTCGTGAGTTGGGAAAGGCCTAAGTTCAAGTCCAGGCTCTGTCTGATTCAGAGCAAGGCTGTAAATCTGTTGTCCACTTCCCAGGTGACAGGTGCAGTGACAGTTACCAGCTTTTGTGATTCAGACTCCAGTGGAGTGGTAAGAAGAGATCAGAGAACACTTCCACACTGTTCTCGAAAGCAGGATTCTTGTCTTTTGTTTTCCACTGATGACGATTATGTTATTAAACAGTTTAAATACAGATCTTGCATCATATTGAGATGTAGTGTAAAGTACCAATTGCAAAGTTTATTTGTTGTTCATTATCTTTGTTTTCACCTTTCAGGGCGTGCTGATGGTTGGTCCTCCTGGCACTGGCAAAACAATGCTAGCAAAAGCTGTTGCTACAGAATGTGGAACAACATTCTTCAATGTGTCTTCCTCTACCCTGACGTCTAAATACCGGGGGGAGTCCGAGAAGCTGGTCCGCCTCTTGTTTGAAATGGTATGTCCTCGATGATCTGGGGATCACTAAGGTGAGAAAGGACATCTCTCTTGGTTTCCTGCCCCTCCAGTAGCATGTTGGAAGCACGGAGTTCATTGAACTGACAACCCTTCAGCCAGTTAGAAAAACATAATCTCTGTGTTTCCAGCCTTTTCTGGTATGTTGTTGAGGATTAAGAAGGAAATGGTTCATCACCGATGTTTAGGATAGCATTTTCCAGACTAAACGTAGAGTTGTGACCTTGACAGAAATTCAGTTCTTATCTGGTTATGGGATAACAAGCCCATGGGAGGTAGATTTGAAATTGGAAGAGATTTGGAACTGTTATTCTAGAAGCAATACATGTTTTAGTTCTGATTCTGTTCTGAATGATGGACACAGGCTTCTCAGTGAAGTGTGGGTGCGGTCTGTCATGTGGGGTACGTGAAGGACGTGCCCATGTGGACCTATACTGAAGGGTCATTCACCTCTTTGGGATCCTCATTGCACTTCTACAATACTCTCAGTTAAAACCTGTCTCCGTTGAGATAGGCTGAGCTCTCTTCTGTCCGCTATGCTTAACCTTCACCAGCACAAAAACCTGGACATGAAAACTGCCTGTATTTTGATTGTGTTCCTTTTCCCCTTTGCAAGACCAGTTGCTGAGGAAAACCAACCAACCCTGAAAGACCCCTGACTCAAGAAGTACAATTTAAAGTGTATAAACTTCAGCATGTGCCAGACAGTTTGTAAATCAAGATCTTGAATTATTTTCTTGTGACAGGCAGGGAAGATATGTATGTGGTATGTCTAGTGGGGCTGGGTCGTGGTCTGATCAGAGCCTGTGCTTGCTGCTGCAGCCTTAATAGTGATGTTTTCATTTGAATAAAGGCAAGGTTTTACGCTCCAACAACAATCTTCATTGATGAGATAGATTCCATTTGCAGCCGCAGAGGCACGTCCGATGAACACGAGGCGAGTCGCAGAGTCAAGTCAGAGCTGCTTGTGCAAATGGACGGTAACAAGTGTTTAGATCCAAGTTTGGGGCTGGGGTGCTGTTTCTTTACAGGTGGGAATGTAAGCACTTCAGTAATCTGCAAAACCTGGCTTTATGGGTAGGGGAAAAATAGGGCAGAACTTGAGAGCAGTGTATTTTTGGAGTGTTTGAAGGCAGATAACTGAAAAGGGCATTCTGCTTTATTTTTTCTAAAATGGCCATTTTGATAGTAAATTGAAAGCTCCTGTTTAAGAGACAGACTCTAGGAGAAGCAGATCATGCAGATTTGTGCAGTTTAATACAGGTCTTTAATTTTTATGCAATTTGAACAAATTTCTCCCCTTTGCCAGAGTCTCCAGCTCAGGGACCCCATTGTGAGATCTGATTTTGCTGTGTTCTGTGGTGGCAGCTAATATTGACCTTTTAGTCAGATTCAGTACCTGTTCAGTGCAGGTGCACATAACGAGAATGACCATCTGAGAAATACTGTATGGTGTAGTGGTTTGATAACCACCTCTGTATTGCGGCTATTGTTTAACTACTATTTATTAACATCCTTAAATGTGCAGGTTCATTGTGGTAAACTCAGGGTAGGCAACTTTTTTCCCCCAAGTGATAATTTCTTTCCAGTCCTCATTTGGGAGGCCAAGGAGTGATTCCTATTTCTTCCATTGCGAGATTTGACAGATACACCACTTTTGATGGGACTAGTAGGGCTATCCTCACATATGACTGTGTTATTAGCACTGTCAAAGAAAGCTCTCCCCTGACTCAGCAAAAGAACGACCTGTCCCCCTCTCTGTGACAATGATGGTCTTGTCACACCTAAGCTGTGGGAATTTTGGAAAGGAGCACTGGGACTATATAGAGCTGTTGCTTAGCTTTGTCCAGGCTTTTGCAATGTTTGTCTGTGCAGTGTTTCTTAGCAAGCATCTCAATCAATAAGAGCTGTGGAGTGAAATTGCTCTAAACTGTTGTGCTTGCAGGGGTAGGTGGTGCTCTGGAAAATGATGACCCTTCCAAGATGGTTATGGTATTAGCTGCTACAAATTTTCCCTGGGATATCGATGAAGCTCTCCGACGGAGACTGGAGAAGAGGATTTATATACCTTTGCCCACAGGTATGTTTGCTATGACCATTTTCCTTTAAAATGGCCTTTGCAAGATGAGCTTAGGATTACTGCAGGACTGTTGGGTTTGGGAGGAGAAGCTTGATGTTTTTGTGATGAGCAGTGAAATTCAAGGGTTAATCATTTGGCTGGGTTGCTTTAATTTTAAAGAGAGTGAGAGAAAGAAAAAAAAATACTACTTGCTTGGGGGCTTAAAAACAAAGAGCTGCGGCATTTCATTGCAGGCCCATTGATGGGTTCTTACATTTTGAAAGAGAGTTAGTTTTAATGAGCTTGGAATTATTTTAAATGTTTAACAGTCAATCCTTGACTGATCATCAAAGGCAGCCTTTGGACATGTTCAGAAATATTGCAAATGCACTCCGTGCCCTTGCAGACAAATGCAAAGAAGTGGATCCATGAATTTTCACTTACAGGCTCAGTTCATTGTAAATCACTGCTTGCTTGCCTTTATGACTGTGCTTCGAGTTACTCAGAATGCAGCAGGCTGATTACTTTGCTGCCCTAAGACGTCTCGGCTTGTATTGTCTTTCTTGGCTGTCATTCACCTGTCCTATTAATTTTGAGATTCCCATCACTTGAAGTTTGCATAGCTTCGTTTCTTCTTGGTACAGTGGATGCCTCATCTCCCTGCATGAGCACTCAAGATAACAAGATGTGTGTTCATAGTGACAGCAGTTGTGATTGAGTTTAGCAGGTATAAGGACACTTAATAGCTCTACAGCTTGTCTTTGCAGCTTACAGGCGGTAACAGCTCCTAACAGGATGCCTGTCTTTATGACCAATTAGTTTAAAATCCTATCAGCTCATGCTCTTGTTTCTAATTAAACCAGATTGTTTTTTGACACAGTGTATTACACCCTGGACAACATATGAGATGTGCTCTGGTTTTATTTCCAGTCTTATGTTCTGTTGCATCTATTCTGGAAATAAGAATGTTGAGCTGTTCTGGGCAAGTCTAAATGATGCATTTATAACTGCTGTGTGATTTGATGTGGTCTGGCATTTTAATTGAAAAAGTGACATGATATGTCATATATACACCTGTATATTGTAGAATTTGATGCAAGTATATATTCTACCATGTTTCATTTTCAAAATACTGCAAGGACTTGCTTAGCCCCATAGCAAAGATTAGAAGAATGTTCTCCGATACAGGATGCTCTCTGCAGGTATGCTGTACGTACATCGTGCTCTGTAAATAATAAATCCCCATTTTATAGCTAGTGCCAGTTATGTGTGATTGATAACTATATTCTTGACAGTTCTGCAAAGCACACAAAACCAGCAGCTTTAGACAAGCTTTCTAATTTCTTTTATATTTCCCCTCCCCCCAAAATTAAAAAAAAATTAATTAGGGATAGCAATAAATAAAAAAATAGCGTGGACATTTCCTTAAGACTTTTAGCTTTTCCTAGTGCTACTTCTGTTGTGGTTGTCCTGTTTCCTAGGTCATAAAAATTGGTCACTGTGGAAATAAAGATGCTGACCTGGTATATTTTTCTGTACAGTAAAAGCCAGGAAAGCATTCGTCCTCTTTTTTACCATTCTTGTGCAGAGTAACACTGAGGCCTAAGCTGTCAAATGTGAATTCCTTCTTATAAGCGTAGGCTGCTTAACATATGTACCCAAATGCACATATGCCCATGCCCTCTACAAGAAAAATGGTTAATTTGCTGCATAAGTGCTCATTTACACAGCTGGTTATCACTCTGTGCACACTGCATCTAGGTCTGAAAGTGGGATACCAGGACATTTGTATTGTAAATATATTAAATATGTTTACTGTATTAATGTATCTGTTTTCTATCAGGCTTCAGCAGCTTTCTTGGTAAAGTGCTTAAACATATGCTTAAAGTTCAGCCTATTGTTAAGGGGTTTGTGCTATCTGAAGCTCTGTTAATAGAATCCTCATTGTGGTTCTAATGAAACTGTGAACAATATGCAGTCAAACACTTGAACAGCGAGTGAATCCAAAGGGATGTGAGAAGAAGCAGACATTTGTAGGATTGTGCTTTTGTGCCCTTGGGTAGTATGTGACCAAATGCTTTGTCACCTGAGACATAACAGACATTTTTAATGACGTATGACTTTGGAAAATGTCTCTAGAGCATGCTGTTTTAATATACTGCTTTTAGCCATATACTTCACTGTATTAGATTGCACACTTTACTATGATTTGTTCTGTCTCTTTCCTTTTCTTACGTTAAGCCCTTTTGTTTGTACTTTTCACTGAAAAATCTAAGTCGTATTTATATCTCTTTTTAATGTTACTCTTGCAAGTCTTCAAATAAATATTTTTATGTTCTAGCAAAAGGCAGAGCAGAACTACTTAAGATTAATCTTCGGGAAGTAGAACTGGATCCTGATATCAGCCTTGAAGAAATTGCTGAGAAGATTGAAGGCTATTCTGGTGCTGACATCACTAATGTTTGCAGGTATCTCATTCCCCTTAATTTGCAAATAAAACTGCATAGAACGTCATCGTTTGCATTATGTGATAAAAGGCAATACCCACTACAACTGAAGCCATGCTAGCAGAAACTATGTTTGAGGCCCAAATCTATTTACTGGAACCATGTGTTACTGTCATATGGAGGGGTCTAAAGACCATGGAGTAATATGTTGTTAAGTTTTCTTGGATCTGAAGAGAAGAAAATTCTCTGAGCAAATATCATGTTACTGTTGGCTGCATTTACTGCATTTGTCTGCATTTGTTAATGTAGTGCAAAACAGGTTTGGATTTTTTTTTTTTATTTTATTTTTTTTTTTTAGATTCCATGAGTTTAAGAGCTAGAATTTTGTGTTACAAAGGAACCTTTCACAGAACACTTCTTTGGGGCTTCTATATGCTGTATGTTTGGACAGCCCCCAGTGCAGCACGGTCCTGATTTCTGCCTGAATCCTCTAGGTGCAAGGGTGATACAGATAGTTTATAGCATTAGTATTGGATTTATTTCTATCCTTTTCCCACAATTTGTTCCATTTTTTTACAAACTTGTCTTTTCTGGTGGAGGATAGGTATTTGAAAAAACTTATCGGAAGGAAGTCTATGTGCCTTATAACATTAGGATCCCTGCCAAGAGAAACCGATCCTTTAAGAACATGGCTTGGGATTTTTTTTTTTTTCTTCCCCTGCTGCTTTGCTGAAATTGTGAAATGACTCCATGGTTTTGAAAACTTGGTGTGTGTCATGCAGTGCAATAGTTAAATTACCTGTTCTCCCTGAGGCCTCTGTTATCCCTTGCTGGGAAAAACCTGGGGAAAGAGAAAATGTAATTTCAGACTGCATGTGGGCCGTGGTGTGAGAAATGAGCAGTGTTCTCCATGCCAGTGGGCCACGCTGGCAGCGTCCGAGCTGGGGAGGAGTCACAGAGCAGGTAGGGCGTGAGGAGCCACGGGCACTGATGCCCTCAGCCCTGCAGGACCGCGTGATGCTAGTGTCTGATGCCTCCTGCTCTGCCCTTTACAGATTCGGGTGCTATGTCCGAGCAGGCAACAGAGCTGGGCTGCACTCTGAACACGTGCTGACCGTCCTTTTGGGCTACACGGTGGGGAGAAGGTTGAAATCTGGGAGGATGGGGGTGCAAAATCCAGACTACTTTAAAAAAAAAAAAAAAAGTCTTTGAGTCTTTGAGTGCAGTTCGTCTCCCACCCTGCCCTTTCCTGCACTGAAGTTGTAAAATTTCATCTCTATGAATCATTGTAAAAGGTTTTCAGTTTTATAGTTTTAATTATCTCTGCACATTTACCATATGCTTAAATGGGTTTTGGTGCCAATGCATTCTTTACGTTGAATTAATGTAGTGATCTAGGAACATGGAAGCTAAGAAAGATGTGAACCGCATCTTCTATGGTAAATAAATGTTCTCTTAAGTGTTCCTGCCAGTGGTTTCTAGCAAGAGAATACAATCAAAATTCATAGGCTTACAGCACATGCTGCTAGCAATTAGCTCCCATACATTGTCCTGTATTTCTAGGGATGCGTCTTTAATGGCAATGAGACGACGTATTAACGGCTTAACTCCAGAAGAGATTCGTGCACTTTCTAAAGAGGAGCTTCAGATGCCGGTTACCAAGGGGGACTTTGAGCTGGCTCTGAAGAAAATCTCCAAATCTGTTTCTGCTGCAGACCTGGAGAAGTATGAAAAATGGATGGCGGAGTTTGGATCTGCTTAATCTCAGTGACAGTTCTCCTTTGCTAGAGTTTTATGGCTTTTGTTGTTTTCAGTTGCAAAATGAGTTAAAAGTCTTTTTAAAGGTTTAATAAAAGGTCTGCCTTTGCCCCCATCCCACCCCCTTCTGGTGACAAGATCTTTTAAACTCCATTTGCCTTTAAAGGGAATGAACACAATAATGAGCTGGTATTGTAAAAGATATTTTTATCTCTGAAATAGTAAAATAAGACAAACAGGAAGGGAAAAATTACACTTGTGAGGATAATCTTTTTATTTTCCAATGAAGAGCAGTGTTACTTAACCTCCTCATAGTTATCTTTCATGGCTGGAATCAATAAATCAGCTGGGGGATGTGACTCCAGAGGAGCTAGCAAGGGCTTGCTGTACCCCCTGCTCTTAAGCACTACATTTCTGTGAAGCTGCTGACTCTGCCTCACTTGAATGTGGCATCGAAGTTACTGTTCTCTCTCTCTCCGCTCGGATACTCAGAGCGAAGCCTGTGGATTAATTGGCAATACACAGAGGAAACAAGGATTAGTTTTCCATCAAGGCATGGGCTTGGCTCTCCTCTCATGTACACCCATTTGGAATTGATGTCACTTCAGACTGGATTGGTGTTACCTGTGATGAATTCCGATGGAAATGAGAGGAAAAGAAAAGGGCCTTGATTGCTCTTAGTCTGGTTTGTACTTGATCTCTGAACATAGTTTGTACCAGTTTGACCAGTAATCACTTTGAAGTTTTACCAGTAGGCACTTTGACTTACGTTACATCTTGCACTTCTATGCGTATGTATCATCCTATACTTTGTCTGTGCTGTCTAGATATTATTATTATTATTATTATTATTACTATTATTATTGTTATTGTTATTATTAAAGTACCAAGAGTTTAATACAGTAAAGACACTAACATCGAGGCTGTCTTTAAAACACAAGGCTGTCCTTAAAACATATGGCTGTGGACTTTCACTTCTGATTAGACATGAACTCTTTCCTAGCTTTACTAGGCAATGGGATTTGCACCTGTTTATGTTGTAGAACTGTTCACGCTTATTTTTTTTAACAAAGGTTTCTTAAAAATGTATAAATGTTATTGATTTGGGGAAAATAATCTGTATGATCTCATTTATGTTCTTATCTGTTTCTTCCCTTCCCACGTACAAGTGCAGGGATGAGAAGGGTTGGGTTATAAAGTCTAGCATGAGAAATTGTCTCTCTAGAGTATAACTGTCATGCTGACTATGTGAGCTTTTCACAGACTTGGGCTGTGAGTCTGACATACGAAGGTGTTCCATGGTAAGAATGAGAAGGAGACGTCAAATTTATGGAGGAATATGTAAGCTCTCAAATTTTTGGTGATTTTGTGAGCTAGGCCTGAAGTATCTTGGTGGATCTGAGTTGCTCTGCGGTTCCGTAGGTATTCTGCCCTTCAGCTCTCTGCTGAGACTCCTAGTGGCATAGCCAGATGTGGGAAATTGGAATAAGAAACAGATAATACCTCCTCTTGAATGGAAGTATATCTTTATTTGCTCCTTTTTGCTAGTTCTTGGAAGTTCCCGATAATGTCAGTAATTCAGCCCACTGGTCTCTTGGGCCATGACATGTGAACCACTAAGGCAAATGCTGCTCAAGTCTGTTTACTGTTCAATAGCAAGGACTGTCAGGATACGTGCATGACAGCTCTGCAGCATCTATTTGATTACATGAGTGACTTTTGAAGCTGTTTTACCACTGCTGCTTTGTCTGTCAGTATTCCTTTTTCTTTCTTTGTATGTGAAGACCATGTCTCAGTTTGATGCTGTCATAAAGGGCTGCCCCAATTTGCATGGAGAAACACTATGGAGATTCTGTCAACCTTGCATTTGACATGAAACTCAGTCAGGGCTTTAGAAGCATGTTTCCATGTGGCACTCCAGAAAAATATCTTCTGGGGCCCCCAGACCGGTTGAGACACAGCTGCTGTTCATATCTTTCCAAGGACAGAGCATCTCCGCTGCCTAGCGTTAGGCCCTGTTACACTCCTGGACAGGGAGGTTAGTGCAGAAAGAACACCAGCTTTTACCATCTTCAGCTGCAGGGAGAATAAATGCTTCTTTCCTGACCAGTTTGCACTAAGTGCACAGCAGAGTCCTTGGGATTCACAGTACCTGTGGCTGTCAGACTAAAAGGAACAGTTCTCTCTGCATTGGAAGATGAGCAAGCAGAAGCCGCATTGACTCTTTACAATTTTTGGATAAATTCCTACCAGGGCTAGTCTGTTCCTCCCAGGGAATAACTGGACCTCTATAGAGAGAAAGCTTTGAAAACATGACTAGAGTTTGTCATTTCTTCCTTACGAAAGCTGTAGGCTGCAGCCGTTACTCTTGTTTGTTTGTTTTACTGCAGTAGAAATCAGTAGAGCTACGCGACTCTTTTGTGGCCAATGCCAGATTAGCATTTCAAGTTCTCTCACTATAGAGGCTATTGCTGCCCGAGGAGCTTAGTCTACACAGGCAAGATCTAGAAGGGAATAGACATGAATGGCAATAACTTACCCTGTTCAGCTGCGCAAGAGCAGTGCTGGGATACAGCAGTTGCTGCTTGGAAAGGTCTAATTACGAGTTTTCTCAGTTTCATATTGCAAGCAGCAGTGCCCTTCCTGCAGATGAAAGCACAGCGTTTAGCAAAAATGTCATTCCTTAGCTCTTTGATGAACCTTCTACCTTAAGGCGTTAAGCTTTCCTCTTGGATATTAAGCAAAAGTCACTGTACTGGGCATTCCCTCTAGCAGGAATTATTCAGGTGCTGCAGTCTTTTTCTCTAAAGGTCATGATTTCTACCCCAAATACGTTTTTCCTGTACAGGTCCATTCATCCTTTACTGCTGCAGAACAGAAAAGTGAAAGTTGCTGGGCTGTGGATGTTTATGTGTATGATGGTTGTGCCCAAGCGTTACACTCGTGACTTGGGCCCCTGGAAGACAGAGACCATCCTTTCCCTGCTGAGACTTTTCAGGATAGGGACCTGACCCTGTATGCTGACCCTTACATCTTTACCAAGTCACGCTGGTGCACTCGCCTAGGTGGGCTTGGAGATTGGGTTATTAACTCAAGAGGGGAGCCAGCGGCGGGGTGCAGCAAGGAGCACCCAGGGAAGGAAAGCCAGGCCAACAGTGACAGTAAGTCAAGGACCTAAGGATGAGCTTATGGCTCAGCGTAAGTCCAATTTGTGTCCCGCTGGTGGAAACCCTTGTGTAGGGATGTTGGATTCCTCAGAGCACGATGTACATATCGCAGCCTGCTGTGACAATTTGTTCAGTCTGTGTCTGTATGTGTATGGAGATACACGCACACATGTGCGTATGTGTATATACACGCACACAGTGTGTGGTGCTTCAGTAGTTTGTACCTAAATTACATAAAACCATGTTTTAAAGCTGTGTTTACATGTCTCTTTCTAAACATCTGTGAAGGCCCTCTTGGGTGGCACTGTTAGTTTTTGTACAATAAGCAATCTGGTTGTATGAAGTAATAAATGTACGTGTAGAGTCTGTCTCGCTCGGGTTGGGCTGTGAATGCTTTGCTGGTAACTGTTTCCAAAGGCTGCCATACGATGGAGATCTCAGCGTGTCACGGCGGTGTTGGACTCACCAAAGTCCTGGACAGAGGGCAGTTAAAGCAGAGTCTGGTTTTTTTGGATAATGCTGTCAGCAATGCTTTGCCTCTTAAATTGGCCTTTCATTGCCACAGGCCATAAAATGGAGAACGCTCCAGTGCCCAGCACGTGGAAGGAGGGTGGGGGAGAGGACAGCAGAGGCCCCAGCAGATGTTCAGTGTTAGCACCTGATTCAGACCTCACAGAGCCAGGCAGGCTTTTTTTATTACTTGCCTCTGGCCTGGAAGTATAATCAGGCTCCAGAGAAGCTATATCATCAGCTGCCTGCTAACCAGAAGACTTTCAAGAGCAAAACTTCTGTTAGGAAAGAGCTTTCAAACTTGGAAAGAGACCCCAAGTCTCCTGGGACTGAGTTGATTATTTGAATTTTCTCACTAACTTCCTTATGAAAGAATGTGTAGTTTCCAGTGTTTCATAATGCCTCAAACATGAAAGAGCGAGCGAGGGAAATTGCTGATCAAGGGATTTCAGGAGAGGTCAAATCTTTGCATAGAAAGTTCAGCTCACCCCAGTTTAAAAGAGACTGTGAAATAGCAAAGGTGCACTGACTTGTTCTGATCATGGTAAAGATGAAAGAGCTTGTGTGCTGTAAAGAAGTCCTCCAGCAAGCGAGCAAAGACTTAGCTGTACAATCCAGGCATGAGGTGGAAGCAGCAGAGGAAAGAATGAAAATTTTTTTGTCTGTTTTTGGAATAAGCCACCCTGAATCAGATTGTGGACCGAGATTTTTTTTTTTGGATCTGTAGTGACAGAAAAGTACACGATGAACCTACAGGTGACACTGTGCTGCCAGGGAGCAAGCAGGGAGCCTGGGAGTGCCAGAGCAACACGCTGGTGTAAAGTGGGTGTCAGCACCGCAGCAGCGGCCGAGGCCCACGCTGTGTGAGCTGCCCACCGAAAAACACTGTAGGTGCAGACTGCAGCCAGGCTGGGCAGGAGTAGTCTCAGTAGCCCTCTGATGGAATAAAACAAACTGCATAAAGCCAACCACGTCGGTGAGAGCAAAGGCAGAGAGATGCTTCGGTTCAGAGAGTGTGGCGCACGGTCTTTTTCCCTGCTGACGTCAAGGGTTTCGTGAGAGCGCTGCGCGAAAGCTTGGCCGTGGCTGTGGATGCCTGAATCGCCTGTGTTTCAGAGCCCAGCTTCCACACGAACCTTAGCCACAGAGCTGCAGCGGCAAGCGATGTTCCCACCTCCCACAGCACAGGGGCATTTGACCTTCTCTGCTTTCTAAGGCAGCCTGGTTTTGTAGGCTGGTTGTGACCTGTTCTTCTGACCCACTTACCGCATACACGGTTGCTCAGTACCTATAACAGAGGAGTTCCTTTTGTACAATACAGAGCTGGTTTTTGATCAGCTAAAGCTCCATGCTCCTACACATGTCTGCACCTAGGTGTCTTGGAAAAATCCAGGCCATTTTCCTCTTCTTTAGCAGGCCCCAACTAGCATTAAAAGTGTATGGGATGAGATGTCTTGGCTAGCCTGGTTGCCCGATGCAAGAACACTTACCTCAGCAGCTGAAGAAGTGCCACAAGGAAAGTTCTGGCTTTATTAGGAAGAGGCAAAGTGTGGGGATGTTGCCATTCCTACTGCATGGGCACAGTTAGGGTCGTATCGTCTCCGAGCTCTGTTTTCTGGTTTTTGTGTATTTGTGACTTCTTTGTTGTAGTAGGAACGTTTTTCTCAGAGTTAGGGGGAAGCCATGGGGTTTTTGTTCGGTGTCTGGGTTAGGGTTTTGGGGATCCCATGATCTGGTTGGTACATGGAGCTGCTGAGCCCATTCCCAGCATGCTTACTTTTGGAGGAAAGCACCATGCATCCCGCTTGGCTGTCTGGCTGTACAGTAAGCAGTGTAGCTTTGTGCAAAGTCACTTACATATAACATTTAGAATATTAGTTTGAAAAAGAGAGAAATTCTTACTGCCAGTTTACAACTGTGTTGCTCCCATTCATGAGCAGTCTCTTGCATAAGTTGTTCAACCGATGTAAAAGAAACTTGGAAGTAAGAGTTTTTTGAACTTGACTTTGGAGAGCAAGAAAGGTAGAAAAATATTTGCCTAGAGGAAGATATCGGAGTACCCACGACGTTGAGAGCTGAAATTTCTTCTTTTTGTGGTTTTCCTTTTTGTCTAGCAGTTACACTGCTGGGTTGCACTTTCTGGTTCCAATTTGTTTTGAAATAATTACCATTGTTTATCCATCTCTCAGACAGCCTTTGCAGATGAATTGGTTCCACAGAGCCCTCTTTTCCTTAGCAGTTGGTGTTCTTGCACAGCGTGTTGTGTGACATCTAATTGAACGGGCTGATGGCATGAGATCTTCCTTGTGAAGTAAAGGTCACCCAAATGGTGAAGGTGAGAGGAACTGCACTGAATACCAATTGGACTGGCGGTAACAGAAACCATAGCAACTCTGCACAGGGTTTATAAATATAACCGAGAAGAAAAAGGGAATAACCTTAAGGAGCTGCTGACAACACTGCAATATGCATGTTGATAAAAACAGTGGTCTTTGCATGTTTGCCAGTGTGGAGAATGTATTTAAGGGGGTTCAAGTGGCTTGGTGAACAAAGGAGGCCAACCGCAGGCACTGCCGACAAGTTTCGTTGCCCAGCCTTGCTGCTTAAAAACATGCCAATCTCCAGGGCTGGTTTGTTACGCCCACTACAAAAACTACATTTTAGGTAATCAAATTTGACTTCCTAATAGCTTGCTTCCCATCTTGAAATGTCGTCAGACTTTGGGATGTGCTGGGGCCGGAGTGTTTTTGGAGGGCCAGAAGAATAAGGGGATGTTAATAGCGATGTGTTTCTGTAGTGTCCTGGGGCTTTGTTGTGCTGGGTACCATTCAGGTGCACAAGAAGAGATGCTGCAAATGCTTATGGGGAGTTGAGGTGGTAGGAAAATGAGGAGAGAGGTGGAAGTGAAGTCACTCACCCAAGGTCCTGGGATCGGTGGAGGAGACAAAGCTGTCCCTCTGACTCCCAGTTCTTGATCCTAAAGCATACAAGAGTGTTTTTAAGTTGCTTTTGATTTGCAGCCCCCTAGCATTTTTTCTGCTGAGGCTGAAGATCCCTGTATTGTGAATTAAACACAGCAAGTTTGTTTTTCTTAAATACCTTCTGCAAGCCCTTAACAAATAGCCTGTGGGGCTCCTGGGGGCCTCAGATGATAGTCTGGAAAGCACTGGCCCATGTCATCCTAAGCTTGCCTGAATTTCTTATGGAAGGGAGTCTATAATGGATGCTGTTGATTTTATTTTCTTCTTGTTAGTTTGCTTGGAAAGATGAAGCTCAGTGGATGTGAGGTGCTTCTGGGGAGTTTATTTACAGTGTGTTTTTTTCTGTGCAGATTAGCATTTCATCAGCATATGGCACAGCCATTTAAAATAAATATTTGGCTTTCCTTAATTTATGCTCGTGTAGAAAGGTCCCCGAGTATGCATATCTATCCCTCTGTTGTATCTAATTAGACATTTCTACCATGGTGCTGGGGGACCAGCCTCCTTCCCCCTCGCTGGGGAGCTGAGAGCTGTGATTCACGCGCTCCTCCCCTGCGTGATGGATCCGCGTGCCTCAGCTCGGAGGGCAGCGGGGCAGACGGCCGGCCCCTCCGCTGGCGGCCCCCCCAGCAGCACACCGGCGGCACTGCCAGCTCAGCCTCTCTCTCTCGATCCTGGGGAATTTAGATTTATTTAAACCGGGAACCAGCTTAAGCAACGCTTGGCGCCCCGTCCACGCTCACCTCCTTCACCCGCCAAGGCGGCTGCGCTTTTGCAAGACGCAACCCCAAGCGAAGCGTGTGGGAGCAAACGGTTTCAGCCGGGGAGATGCTTGGGGAGGAGGTCGGGCAATGGCAGGGGAGGACGGCATCCCGGGCAGCATCCCTGGGTGCCCACCCGGTCCGGGCAAGGGAAATCAATGGTGAGGAGAGGGAGAAGCGCTCCCCCAGGCATGCAGTACGGACATGGATGGGAGAAGAGCAGGAAACTTATTTTAAAACAAAGGAACAAATGAAAAACTAATCAGTTTTAAGACGGAGCAGAGCCCGCCACAGCCAGTGACCCAGGAGGCCTTTTCCAGCTCTGTGCCATATCCAGATGTTTTGTGTTCTCACAGATGATTTGGAAGCTTTCTACTAGTTTCCAATCTAAATAAGTTCA